GTGGGTGGATCACCTGAGGTTGGGAATTCGAGAACAGCCTGACCAACATGGAGAAACCCAGTCTCTCCAAAAAAAAAAAAAAATACAAAATACAAAATTAACTGAGCGTGGTGGCGCATACCTCTAATGCCAACTACCCAGGAGGCTGAGGCAGGACAATTGCTTGAACCCGGGAGGCGGAGGTTGTGGTGAGCCGCGATGGCGTACTGCATTCCAGCCTGGGCAACAAAAGCAAAATTCTGTCTCAAAAAATAAAAATCTACATGCTATTAGAACTAATAAAAGTTCATGAAGGTTGCTGGAGATAAGGTCAACATAGAAAACCAATAGTTTGCCTGAACATCAACACACAGATAAAATTCGCAATACCATCTGTAAGTTGCCTGGTACTCTTTCTAACAAAATATTTATTCAGAAAGGAAATGACATTTTAAGGACAGATAAAAAAAAATCCAAATTATCAGTCATCATCTCCCATTCAACCTATAACATTAATACAGTCCAAAAATAAAGTCCTACATAAAGTTTAGGAGGACTTTTGTGAAATTAGAAACCTGATTGAAAAATTCACCTGGAAAAACAAAGGTCCAAGAATTGTCAAGACTGTTTTGGAAATGAACAAGGAGGGTCATGCAATCAAATAACTAGACCTCAATTTTATGGCAGTAATAAATTCAAAGTGTGGTGTTGATTTAGGGATAGATGAGTAGATTAATAATAAAACAGAAAAGGGCCAGAAAAAGATTCAAGCACATACTGAAATTTAGTGTAATAAAATAGTGAATGGGTTCCCAGATGGAAATAGTATATACTGCATATTACACCAGACCATACACCAGAATAAATTCCAATTAAAGATCAAACTGAGAAAAGCTAACTTCAAAACTTTTAGAATAAAATATAGACTGCTTTTAATCTTAGATAGGATTTCTTAAATAAGACATAAAAATAACTCATAAAGGAAAAAAATTATTTGACTAGATCAAAAATGTTAACTTTAATAAAAGTTATTAACAAAGTTAAATATATATAATAGAATTAGTATCCAGAATATATAAAGCTTCTATAATGTAATAAATAGCTCTACTTAAAAATATGCAAAGGATAGGAACCAACAATTCGTGGAGGAGAAAATCCCTATGTCTAGCAGGCAGGTTAAAAGGCACACAGCATTGCTAGTAATTGAGGAAAAGACAATTTTTTTAAAAAATACAATTTCATGTCCATTGGAATAGTAACTTTTTAGTATATATGTATTACCTGTATCATGTATAAATGGCATATATATGCAAGGTAATAAGAAAATAAGAACTATCGTATACTGCTAATGGAAGTATAAATGGATATAAGTGTTTGAGAGAGAAATTTGTTAATATAAAATAAAATAGAAAAAAATCATTTATAAGCCCTAGAAAATTGACTTCGAGATTTATAGCTGAGAAATTCTTACAGGTATATACCAAGAGACATATACAAAGACACTTATGGCAGGCAGTACTGTTTGTAGAAAAACTGGAAGCTACATAATTATCTTTCAGTAGAGGAATAGATGAATAAATTTGATTATTCATTCAATGGGATAATTTTTAGTAGTTAAAATGAATGAACTTCATCTGAGTGTATCAACATGGATGGATCTCAAAAACAATGTTGAGTTTAAAAAATTGTAGAATATGTACAGTGTAATGGAACTTACATAAACATTTAAAAGCTTCACAGAACAGTGTATGTTGCTTATAGATTTTTGTTTAATACAAGGAACAACTCGAAGTAACAACTGGAAAGTTTACACATTGGATTAATGATAGTTGCCTTTGAGAAGGTAGGGAGGGGTATAAGACTAGGCAGAAGAAAAGGGGAACTTAAACTCCATCTATATTGTTCTATTATGTTTAAGTATAAAGTAAAAATAATCAAGGGGCTAAGTGATTCCAGGGCCCTCATCTACCAGAAGGGCTTTCATTTTTCTTTATAACTCTATCCTTTAAAACAGCAGTCCCCAACCATTTTGGCACCAGGGACCAAATTCATAGAAGACAAAAAATTTTCCCATAGATCGAGGGGTGGGGGAGATGGTTTGGGGATGATTCAAACTCATTACATTTATAGTACAGTGTATTTATGTTATTATTACATTGTAATAATATAATGAAATAATTATACAACTCACCATAATGTAGAATCAGTGGGAGCCCTCTTGTTTTTCTGCAGCTAGATAGTGGTCCCGTCTGGGGTTGATGGGAGACAGTGACAGATCATCAGGCATGAGATTCTCATGAGGACAATGCAGCCTTGATCCCTCACACATACAGTTCACAATAGGGTTCACAGGCTCCTATGAGAATCTAATGTTGCCACTGATGTGACAGGAGGCAGAGGTCAGGCAGTAATGCACTCGGCTGCTCACCTCCTGCTGTGTGACCCTGTTCCTAACAGGGATGAGAGTTGGGTACCCCTGCTTTAAAAGGCTATCATTTATATATATGTTTTAGAGCTTTACCAAGCTCTAAGGTAGATAAAGTCATCCTCCTTAGATAACCATCCTACTTAGATAATCCCATAGATTACTGGTACAATGAAAATATATTGAGATCTGTATGTTATAAAATAAACATTTCATTTTCATACTAATTTATATAAAAACTCATTCTTAAGTGGTCCCAGTCTTTACAAGGACTTTTCTTCATCTGGGGGACTGAAATTTTTTTTCATTTATTCATTCAACAGATTTTATTGAACTCCTTACATGTACCAGATGATAACACAGCAATGAGCAAAACAGACAAAGCTTGCTATCATGAAGTTTAAATTCTAGTCAAGGAAGATAGCTGGTAAACAAATTAATAAAATTATAATATCACTGGTGATAAGTGCAATGATGAAAAATAAAGCAGGATGAGAGCTATAGAGAGTGATTGGGAATATTTTATATGGGGAAGTCAGGGAAGAACTGTCTGTTGAAGATAACATGGAGCAAAGTAACAAAGAAAGTAAAGGGAAAAGTTATATGGGAGAAAAGTCCTAGAGGCTGACAGAGCAAGCCAGTGCAGGGCCCGCTCCTGCCATGAAGCTGTCATGGAGGCTGCCTGGCTAGAGCTGAATGAATGAAGAATAGACTAGTATGAGCTTAGACCAGAAAGACAGCAGAGGATTGGGTCATAGTGGGTTTTTATGGCCATGGTAAAGACTTTGGAGCAAAGGACTAATGTCATCTTCAAAAAGAATCACTCTGGCCACTTTGTTGGGAGTAGCCCACAGGGTGTGGTGGTTGGTGATAGGGCAAAGATAGAAGCAGAGAAACCAGTTAAAAGGTTGTTGTAACACCTTAGACAAGAAATAATGACTGTTTGTTTTGTTTTATTTTTTTGGAGACGGAGTCTCGCTCTGTTGCCCAGACTGGAGTGCAGTGGCACTATCTTGGCTCACTGCAAACTCTGCCTCCCAGGTTCAAGCAATTCTCCTGCCTCAGCCTCCCAAGTAGCTGGGACTACAGGTGCACGCTGCCAGGCTCAGCTAATGGTTTTTTTTTTTTTTTTTTTTTTTTTTTTTTTTTTTTTTTTTTTTTTAGTAGATACGGGGTTTTACCGTGTTGCCCAGGCTGTTCTCGAACTCCTTAGCCGAGGCAATCCGCCTGCCTTGGCCTCCCAAAGTGCTAGGATTACAGGCATGAGCCACCACTCCTGGCCAATGATGACTGTTTAGAACAAGGTGATGAGAGATGGTTGGATCCTGGATATATTACTTTTTTAGCAGCAATTCTTAATCTATAGATAACTCTCAGATCTCAGAGGAAACTGGGAGTTATTGAGAAGAGAGAAGAATAGCACAAGTTAGGTGCCAATGAATTATAAGCTATACACATTATCCCAAAAGGAGATTTTAAAACCTCTAAAAATCTTTTGTAGGATTGTGGGAAGGGGAATTCAGTCCCTCTTAACCTACGGTTATTCTTTACTGTTTTTGCTCTTTTTAGTCGTTCTGAACTTTGCAATTAAACTGAATCCAGTCATATTTTATTGTTTAGAAAATGAAATTTGAAATCTGGGTACATGTATAAAATTGTGTTATTGATTGTGTTAAATGAGATTTAAATACTAATTTTTTTTTACATTATAGCTTAGCTGTATGGCTACATACAAAGGCAAATAACCAATTTTGGTTTACATTTACATTTATTTGGCTTTATAACTTTTTGCAGAAGACAATTTGGTTTTAACATCTTTTAAAGATTGAGTGTTAACTGTTCCTGAACACTTTGCACGATTTCTTTGCATTTTCACTTTCCTATGTGTTATAACAAAATCCAAAGGTTAGTTGTTTAAATTATTTTATACTGGCTTCATTTGTGTTATATATTAACAGTTCACTTATATTCAGTAGTTCGGTTAAATTGATGTATAGTGGCTTTATTGTATTGTTTATTTCTAAGTATTTTTCTGCCCTCCCAATTTATTACTATATTAGTTAATCTTTTATTATTGCTTTTATGTCTAGGGATTCTTGTTACTGGTGTGTGTGTGTGTGTGTGTGTGTGTGTGTGTGTGTTGAGACAGAGAGGGGGGAACAGAATCTTTTATGTATCAAGTCTTACCAGTTACAGATTGTAGTCCATCATTATGACTTTTAAGTGCTAAGCAAATTATTGTCCAGAGTGGCAGGCAGACAGTAAAAATCGTAATTATTGTAAGCTCTGTGCCATACTTGTAAATATAGTAATAAATCTGCACTTATATACAGTTAAAAATTTAATTGTTTATTCAAAACAAACTTAGGAAATATTTTGACCATGCTTTAAGATTAAATTTAGTAAAGTGAATGGGAAATAGATTTTTGTTTTGCTTTGTGAAAAACACAGTTTTAGGCTACAATCCCTAATCTTAATAGGAAGCTGTATTTATTTTTTCATAGTAAGAAAGACTAAATTACCACATCTTTTTGAGAATATTGCAGATAGTTAATAAACTTTTCATTTTACTAACCTAACTTTCTCTTTCTTTTAGCAAAACCGTACAATCTAAAGTGGACTGCATTTTGGTAAGTGAAATAACTAATCTTAAAGTTCTTTTCCAATAAGGTTTTTACCATGATATAAAATATACAATTTTCAAGTAAATATTGATTTTAAATATAATCTAACTCCAGTGAATAAAATTTGATATTTTAATTACAGCCCCCTCAAGTGAATTTTTTATAAGCTACCTAGATACTTTCCTGTATCTCATCAATAATAAAATCACAATCTGAGGTTAATTACGGTTTTGAATCTTAACTGGCTCTTCCTGAAAGATTGCTTAAACAAACAATTAAACTGGATATTTATTTTTCTATTCTAATAACTCTAAGAATTTGTTTAGAGAAAGTTTTTGAAGATGTTTAATGGGTTAGTTTTGTTGAGATAGCGTATTTTTCATGTTTTTGTTGGCACCCTGTAGGAATTAAGCCATAATAATCGTTTAAGTTTAGATTCTACTTATTAGAACTGTAAAAATTCGTTTTCAAAAACAGCTTTTAAGATGGTTAGTTGATGTGTTGGGTTGCCAGCTTTTAAGATTTAAAGCCACAATAATAGGTTATTAGATTGTGTTAGTATAGTAGTAGTTTTTTAGGTCTTCTTTTAAACGTATGAGGGAAGGAGCATTGCAGCTACTGGGACATCTGGAATACTGCTGATTTCTTTCATAAAATCTCTACTGAAAGGATACTCTCTAGGCTTTAGAATATACGAAGGCTCTGTACTATTAGATTCCCCAAATTGTCAGTATAGTTAGTTCTCTTTCCCTACTTGTGAGTTGAGAAGTTCTCTTACCCAAGTTTTGGTCTTGCTTATAAGCTAACCTGACTATGTTGTTGTTGGTGGTGGTGGTGGTGGTGGTGGTGGTCTGTTTCAGTGTCTGGTGCTGAAATAGTAAGATGTCTTATTAGCTTATATTATTATCAGCTTATTATCCTCTAGGTAGCTGAATACATAGGAATAGTTTATAGGAGAAGAGGAAGTTTAATCAGTTCTCTTCACTTTTCTGACCTAATAGCTAGCTAAAAGACGACTTTGTGGAGGTGTTTTTTTTTTTTTTCCTTTCACTTACTCTTCTTTTTGGGCGGGGTGTTTCTGTGTGGTTTTTTGGTTTTTGAAGGTTTTTTTTTTCTCTTACAATAACCGTCTGAAGTAGGTAATCTTGTTACCTCCCTTTTACAAATGAAGACACCAATGCTCTGGCATTTCATTCAAAAAATTATTAAAATTATTGAACATCTTCTGTCTGCCAATTTTACTCACAAGGAATACAAAACAGAAAAGACATATTCCATGCCCTTAAGAAATTTAGTCTGTTATAGAGAGATATATTCAAGAGTACTCTTAAGAACTAAAAAAGTGGTGACTGGGGATGGAGGGAGTAACACATTGCCACCAACCTCCAGAGCATTTCCTCTGTCTTCCAACTCTTAAGAGTCTCATTTATGTGTCATTCTGTAATTATTTCATGATTACCATATACTAGACCCTGTTCTTGGTACCATAGTACAGTGGTAAGCAAGACAGACACAGTTCTTGTCTATCTATGGCTACCTACTTTCTTTGCAATACTTAAGATAACTTTGGAGGATTACTCACTTTTTTCTCTTCATTAAGAAGAGGCAGAAGACTGGTATAAATTATAAAATATGACATTTATAAAATACTAAATAAGAACAAAACTCTTTTTAAAGTCTTTTAAGGGTTCAGAAGTTAAAATATAAACACAAAAGTGTTATATTTTAGTGTAAGTTTTAGAATATATGTAAATTTTTACTCAGTAATTTAAAAATACTGTGTTAGGTCCTGGACATACAGTGATAAACAAGATACTAAGATCTCTCCTGTCATGATCCTTTTATTTTATTGGGTGAGGTAGACATTAAACAAGTGAGCAAATAATTAAGCATTACAATTCAGATAACGATAAATGATAGTCCACAATTTTTAAAAGGGAAAGGGAGGCAAGCGATGGTGGGTAAGGTAACCTCAGATAGGGTGGCCAGGAAAAGCTTCTCTGAGGAGATGACATTTGAGTGCCAACCTGAGTAGTAAGAAGCCAGCCTTGAGTCATGATCTCCTGGTGACACACACGAGGTAGAAGGAACAGTAGGTACAAAAAATCTGAAGCTGGGAATGAGTTTGGGGTATTTCAAGAATGTAGGATCCCAGTGTGCTGGAACTTATGGAAGGAAGTAGAGAATGATAGAAAAGTTCATGTATTACATATTTAGTCATGGCAAGTAGTATCCTACGTGCATGGGAAGCTGATTAGAGGATTTTATGCAGAAAATAGTGCAATCTAGTTTTGTTTTTTGTTTTTGTTTTTAATACCCTGGCTGTTGTTGGAACAGTGGATTGTGTGGTAGGGGAGGATATGAGTAGAAGCAGGAAAACTGGTTAGGCTATTGTAGAAATCCAGTAGATAATTCAAGGCTCTTGCTCAGATGATAGTAATGGAAGTTTTTTTGTTTTTTTTTTAAGTAGAGGGGTTTAAGGCATTTTTGGATATAAAATTACTAGGTCTTGCTTGCTGATAGATTCAATGTGGAGGGGAAACAGAAGAGTCAAGGATGATCCCTTTCAGTCTAAAGCAGCTCTTCTAGTATTTCTTATGCCACAGGTTTGTGTGTAATGAATTTTCTTAGTCTGTGTTGATCTATGAATGTCTTTATTTTGCCTTCTGTTTTAAAAGATAGTTTTGCTGGAAATAGAATGTCTGGTTTACAGTTTTGTTTGCTTGTTTTTTCTTTGATTGTTTTGAATATGCTGTTCTGTTGCCTTTTGGACATCAGCCATTAATTATATTAATATCTTCCTGTACTTAAGTTTTCTTTTGTTGGTATTAAGATTTATCCCAGATTCATTCTGTCACTCATTCACTTCTCCTGTCTCTCTGACTTTTTAACAGTTTGACTGTGTATATAGTGGATCACTTTATGTTTGTCCTACTTGGGCTTTGTTGAGCTCACATAGATTAGTTAGATTTGGGATGTTTTCAGCCATTATCTTTCCATATACTTTTTCAGTCCCTTGATTCTCTCCTCCCCTTCTAAAATGCCCATTTCACATATGTTGAAATGATTGATATTATTATTCTCTTCTCTCTGAAGCTCTATTTACTTTTTTCTCTGATTACTTTTATCTGTGCTCTAGTTTCTCTATTAAGATTTCCTGTTGTCTAACTCATTGTCATTGTGTTTTTCTTTGTGTGTTTAAACATAGGCTGCCTCATCCTAGCAACACTACTATTCTAACCATGTGGGATAGGTCATGGTAGCAGCCATAAGCAAGAATAATAAAGACTGTCATAGTTACTACTACCTAAAGTTCAGTAGTCATTAATGACTAAACACTTCCCAATATGTTGTTTGCCTGTAGTTGGTTTCGAGAGCCTACTTTCTGACCATTTTGTGTCATTTTATAGTTGTTGGTAGGGAGGATTGACCAACCTCTTTACTTCCTTTTCCAGATATCTCAGTCTTCTCATAAAGATTTTATTATGTTTTCTTCTAGAAGTTTTATAGTCGTAGTGTTTTTCTTTTAGATGTTTGAACCATTTTGTGTTAAATTTGTGTTTGCTTTAAGTTGAACTTCAAGTATTATTTTTTATAATATGGATGGATATCCAGTTGTCCAGCACCATTTATTGAAAAGTCTACCCCTCCCCAGTCACCTCCTATATCAAAAATCATTTTATGTAGGTCTTTTTCTGGACTCTTATTTTCCATTGATTGCTGTGTCTGCCTTTACGACATCACTACACTGTCTTGTTTACTGTGCTTTATAGAAAGTCTTGATATCAGATAATATGAATGGTTCAGATTTTTTTTGGCGTTTCCATAACAATTCCAGAGTTACTTTGTCAATTTTTACTTTTAAAAAAAGTTGTATTTGGATTTTTATTGGGATTACATCGAATTTATAGATCAATTTGGGGACTATTGATGTCTTATTAACAAATTTTAATTCATGAGCTTAGTGTATCTCCATTTCAGTTGGTTCTTCTATATCTTTCAGTGTGTTTTGTTATTTTCTGTTTATAGGTTTTGTACACATTTTATTAAAACTAAAGTTTTTAGATGCTACTGAGTGTGGCATTTAAAAATTTCTGTTATCCATTGTTTTATTGCTAATAGTTACAGTTATCTAGTAACCTTCAAACTTGCTAAATTCACCTATTAAATCTAGTAGCTTTTATGTAGCCTTTAAGATTTTCTACCCACTCAGTCATATTATCTATGAATACAAATAATATTAATTTCTTCTTAATTTATATGCCAATTTCTTTTTCTCACCTTATTGTACTGCTAGGACCTCTGGGAGATAGATGAATAGAAATGTGAGAGTGAATTTCCTTGCCTTGTTCCTGATCTTAAGGAAAAAAACAGTGATTCATTCACCATATAATATGAAGTTAACGTTAGCTTGTTCGTGGACACTCTTCATCAGGTTAAACATATTACTTTTTGTTTCTGTTTTTCTAAGAGGTTGTTGTTTTTTTTTTTTTTCCCCCCAATCATAGTTACATGTGGATTCTTTCTTTGGACCGAGTCTGGCTCTGTCACCAGGCTGGAGTGCAGTGGCGCTATCTCAGCTCACTGCAACCTCCGTCTCCCAGGTTCAAGCGATTCTCCTTCCTCAGCCTCCCAAGTAGCTGGGACTACAGGCGTGTGCCACCACGTCCAGCTAATTTTTGTATTTTTACTAGAGACAGGGTTTCACCATGTTGGCCAGGATGGTCTTGATCTCTTGACCTCATGGTCCCCCCCGCCGCCCTTGGCCTCCTAAAGTGCTTTGAGATGGAATTACAGGCGTGAGCAACCGTGCCCAGCCACATGCAGATTTTTATCAAACAATTTTTCTGTACTTACTAATAGTTTCTGTTTCTATATTATCACATTTCCTATTCTTTTCCACTGAACTATCTAATCTGCTATAAATCCCATCCAACAAATTTTCTCTTCTAGATCTTAAATTTTTTCAGTTCTAGAAATTCAACTTTTTGTTTTTTTTGAGGCAG